ATATAAATTCGTGAAAAAAAGCGCTTTCGACAAAATACTAAAATAGAGATCTATCGACAAAGACTACTCACTTCTGCCTAGCTTAATAGTATAAGATTGCCGCAGCTGATGCTCTCTGGTTATTTCAGTTTCCGTTTTTAAAAGCGCTATATGCTGAGCCACCTCAACTAGATTTGGCATGTGACATTTTTAGCAGCAATCATTGGTCGATTCGCCGTGTAAGAGAAATAGTAAAGTAAACAAAACAAAGCAAACGTTGCCACCGGCGGAAAAGAAATACGTCCAAAATTTGGGAGCCACGTAAGAGAATTATATATATTAGATTCTCAAAATCTTTGTTATCAGAGTTTAGATTTAGATTCAATGAAATTCACTGCTTTTTTAATACAATATCAAAAGTAAGCAAGTTAATTGCATTGATTATTTCATTGTTTACAGTATGTTACATTAGTCACAAAAATGCAATGCTTTCTGTTTTTAAACTAAACCAAAAAAAGTATGTTTCTTAAAACTTTTAATTTTCTTTATATCTGTATCAAGGATACTTGAAAAATGCAAAATGTTTATTTAAGGTATAGTAGATGTAAAAAAATTGGTGTGACTAACACAACAATTTAAAGATAACCAAAGATAACGCTTGGAAAACCTCTTAAGATGCTACAGTAACAATATACACTGCTGTAATATACTACAGGAAAGACATCAATGATTTAGAAACTTAAACCTTTGCAGTGATATCTTACATCAAAACTCTTTCTTGCCTGGAAGACAAGTTTAATTATAAAGGACTGAAAACAGAACTTGAGTTATGAAATAAAAAATTTTATTATATGGTCGGATGTAGCAGCAGTCCGTTTTAAAAGCCGCTATAACATGACATTAATCACTACAAATCCTTTGTATTAAGAATGCGGCTTTACCACAGAGGCTTATTATGCCAATTCTCATGATGGTGTAAGTGCAGCATGTAAGCATGTGTGAAAAAGAGTTTTACAATGCAAAATAATTGTAAGGACTGCAAAAGAATTCTTCAATCAAGTTCATTTCTCTTTGAGTATACGGCGTATGCTCATATCTGCGAAAGAATTTCAAAAAGGGTAGCAAAGGACAATAAGTTAGTAAGAAGTATCAAACATGTATAAAGTCTACCTTCTGAAAGAAACAGATGAAGAATTTAACTGGCCAAAACCTGATGATATTCAGCTTATAAAAGCTAAGGTTTTTTAACAGCTCCAATTGAGTTAAAGAGAAGTCTTTCATTTACAACTTCAAATACTGATCGAAGAAAATTAATTGTACAACATGAAATATTCAAAAAATTGAAAAAGTACTACAAATGTTATAAAGATTACTCACAATAAATATATTCGAATGTATGTCTTGCTTGTCATTTGATGGTTACGTGAGTAAGTGAAAGTAATATTTAAGAGCAAAAAATTGTTCTTCAATAAATATATAATATATTTCTAATAGTGTTCACCTTTTTTAAATATAGTAGCCAATTTTAAATGCCTGCTCAACTTTCAGAAAAATTTGCCTTATAATATAAGCATCATTTTTCAGTATTGAAAAACTGTTAAATTAGTTGTTGAAAAACTATCTTTTAATAGTAATTTTGCTTCAAATTCTTGGTAGAAATTATACATTTATACGACACACATTGTAAATCCACAAGCATATTTATAAATTATTTTTTAATTTTTAAGTTTGAAGTAAAAAGGTTTGTAAAATAAGCTCTGAAAGTTACGTTAAGTCACTACGAAAGGACTCCTTCACACTCATGTGTGACGTTGAGTTTAGGTAACTAGCTAAATCTGATCCCAAAATTTATTCAGTCTGATAATAAACATAAGAGTAATAAACCACATGACTAGAGAGAATATTTCTGTATCGTGATCTGCCACGCCAACTGCAATTGCCAAGGAGCCAATTTGATTTAATTGATTAATTGATTAATTGATTTTTTAATTGATTGAAACGTGAAAATTTAAAAAAAAAAGCATGTAGATGTTTGCTTGGGGATGGCTACGAGTTATACTCTTCGAGATACTTATTTTTTAGTGTCCCTTTCTGTAATGTTTTTTTTAGTCCGCTACCCGGAACAAAACTTGGCGATTATTCCGCCAAAGATTACGATACGGAAATCACCCCTGATTGGATATAACCATGCGATTAACAAAGAAATGCAATCAGGACTAATAGTCCACCTACAACCACTAATTTTAATTCATGTTTTAGAATTAAACATTATAGATATTCTGAAAAGATTTAAAGTTTCATATTTCAAAAGTATTTATTCCAAACTAAAATTAAAAATTTTAGTTCCTTTGAAACTGTTACATGAATATTTTGTTGAAACAATATAATATTTGTTACGTGAATATTTGTTACATTGTTATAATGAAACAATATAGTATTTGTTTATACAATTAACATTACTGTTTATACAATTTATATATTCAATTCACTGTCAAAAAAGACATTAAAAAAAACATTTTGGTTAGATTATAAAAAACAAGAAATTTATGAAGAAACAAGATCAATTACAAAAATTTTTATTATTATTTTTGAACAAAGAGAGACTGGGTTTTGGATTTAAGGGTTAAAAATTGTTTTGCATGTAATTAAAACAATGTGACACTAATAAATGATTATGTTTTTAATTGACTGTTA